CTCAGGGGCATACACCAACTCAGACACACACTTGCATGAGTACATACTTATACCACTCACACATTTGTACTTGCACATGCTCATGTTAACATGTTGACACACTGATGCACATACAGTCCATCACACATCCAGGTCAGAGCAGTTAAACCTTCCCTTGGCCCAAATCCTGTTACCCCAGCAGGTGCTGAGCCTGGCTGCAAACATCACCACTGAGATTATGCCTGCACTGTGAGACACAAAATGGCCTATCTACTTTCCTTGGAGGCTGCTGGTGGGGGTTTCCCAGCAAGCTCTCTCCTGACACTGCAGACAGCTTGTGCCAACAGCAAGAATGGGAAGCGTGTTCCAGGGGTTTGGTCCAAGCTTCCCATGGGTAGTGGCTTGGAGGTCTCCCTTCTTCCCACAAATTACTCAGACCCACAAATGTGTCTTCAGACCCTGTGATGGTCACAAGGCTATTGCTCCCCCAGCCACATCCTTGGGGACCAGGTGGTATCAGGCCTCTGGGAACTGAGTTGCTGCCACCAAAAGTCAGCAAGCTGCATCCAGTGCCCAACTGCATGGATTGGTCTTGAACTTGTGATCCTCCTTCAGCTTCCAGAGTAAAGTTGACCACTTGAGGGCTGGGGATATAGCTCCTTTGGTAGAGTGCTTGCCTTGCATGCACAAGGCCCTGGGTTCTATCCCCAGCACAAACACACACACACACACACACACACACACACACTTGACCACTTGGACTAAAGGTGCTGGTGCACTTACTGGTGAACCCCAGAGTCAGAACCAGGGGCAGAATCCTGTCTGTATTCCCATTCATCAAAGGGCATAGTGGTATCCACTTAGTGAGCCCTCTACAAAATCCACTTAGTGAGCCCTCTACAAACACAGGTGGTGTCAAACAATTCTTGCACCGAGGGAGACAGTGGAAATTTGGGGGGGTGGGAGATGGAGGAAGCTCCTTCACTGGGGAGAGACTGCTGGTGCATCACGGATAAGCAGTGCCTGCGCGTGCCACTCTTCTTCCTATGCCAGGCTCAGAGACAGGACAGTCTCCATTCCTAGCATTCTTGACCCCTGCCAGGGATAAGCAGGTCCTGCAAAGCCTGGATGCCCAGACTGGGCTGGCTGGGCCAGCAATGATATCTCTCTGGAAAGCCAGGGATTGGGCTTGCCTCCAACACATGCCACAGCTGAGCATCTGGTGTCTGTGGGTCCCCTCCTGTAGTGGGCACTGTAGGCCCCATCCAGACCCATCTTGGAGACCAAAAGACTCCCTAGCTGCCAGGAGCACCAGTCATAACTGAGACACACCCCTAGCCAGAGTCACTTTAATGGAAGAGAGCACCAAAAGGCAATGTACATCCAGCAACAGGTAAGGAGCTTTCCTCTGTGTTCATTCCCAGGAGATGTCTCTGTTCCYAAGCTCCAGTGGATCTTTACCATTGAGCTACATCCTCAGCACTTTTTATTTTGAGACAGGGTGGTCTAAGTTGCCTAGCCTGGTCTTGAACTTATGGTCCTCCTTCAGCTTCCAGAGCCACTGGGATTACAGGTGTATACCAACACCCCTCATCTTCCCAACCCCAGCTGCAGCAGCYGCTCTTGTTCTCTACCCACTCCATATCAGGAGCAGCCCTGCAGGCATATCCCTATTTCAGCATCCATGTCCATGTCAAGGCTGACTGACCAACCTTGGCATCCTGAGTGAGGGCACCTGAAGGACAGCATGAGCAAAGTAAGGTGGACACGTATGTGTTCAAGCCACCTAGACATGTGTCTGAACACACATGTGTTCTACCTCATGTCTGCTCTACTGACCTATACTCT